GGCTTCTGGAAGGCAAGTAACAGACTTTTAAAAAAAATTCACTTAACTTCCAATCATATATTGTTTTTATATTGTATATTCAGTTGGTTGACAACGTGAGGGCTTTTGAATTAGGCAAGCAAAAGAATCATTTAATATTGAAATAACTTATTGCAGGAGCCTGATGAATCTTTTCCTTTGGAAAGCAGACAGGACAGTTTTAGTGTGGTGTCATCTATAATAGGAGGTCTAGAAGACCTTAGAGAATCTTAGAACTCAATTGTTATCTATGTTTTTACACCCCTTTCAGTAATGATTTGGAAAAAAAAAAAAGTAAAAATTTCAAAAAGGGAAAGATGAACCCTGAGCTCTGCATAGTATGGTAATTAAAAGGTTGGGTTTTACAAACAGACTCAATATTGACAAGAAAAGGATGGGTGGGTTTTCATTTTCCCATCTCCATCATATTCTCAATATTTCTCAAATAAGAGCAATACTAAGATTAAAAATATATATGTAAATGGGAATAAAAGCCTATGTAGAAAATTTTGCTAGAAAAAAAAGGGCTTTTAACACAAATATTACTTCTAGACTATTCCCTCGCCTTCACCCCTATCAGCCCTCTTTCTAACACTTTTGAAGCTCCTAATGAATCGTAGCCCCCTGAAGCTGCTAGGTCAAACTGCCTGGACTTGAAGACGGGCCTTCCACTTATTAGTGATTGAGTTACTTAAAATAAGGATGATAAAAACCTGCTTCATGAGGTGTACTCTTCACTTTATAACTTTAACCTGTTGCTATTTGTTCTATTTTAGGGATTTATCATTATTTTTTGAGGAAATTAAAAGAACAGAGATAAAATCCCTGTCATTTATAAAACGCACAGGATAAAAGCAAAAAGTTTGGGTTCTTCTGTCCATATGTAACAATCTGTTTCATACATGGATCTCATATATGAAAACCTAAATTTTTGTATAAGATACACGAGAGTGGATTTATCAAACAAACGTGTATTTCACTAATGCAAGGAATTTAACCTATCAAAGACTCCCTATTTGCTGCAGAAAATTTTAGAAATGCAAGCAATAAAATCAATAATTTTTAAAAATCTTGTCTTTGGCATGTCGAAGAACTTTTATACTTCTAAAAGTGTAGTTATTTGTAGTCAGTGATGAACCTCTCTACACACCTTAGCCCTATGCAATGTTGGGAGTAGAAAACGAGTAGAGATTTTGAGAAATCTTAGGCTAGTTGAAATACTTCAGAAACGTCAGAATGTTGAATTACCATCCCTCTGACTTAGAAAGAGAAATACCAACACTCGGGAAGATTACCATCAGAAACAACTTTGGAAAGTTTAATTTGGTCATTGTTTTTAAAATAAGAAATAATGTAAATAAAGTACTGCAACAAAGCATTCTCACAATAAATAGTAGCTATTCCTGTCACTTCTTACAGCCGAGGCCCAATATACATTGTATTCTCATATTTGTACTTCCTCCCAACATCTAGCGCATATTTGGCCAACATATAAATTTTTATCGAAAGAATGAATGACATCAATGACAGGCTGGTCGCACTCCGGTGGTCCAGGTTAGCCCGTGAGGCCACGAGGAAACTGCGGATAAGACAGTGTCCAATTTGCCCATACCGCCTGCTAAACTACAAGTCCCAGTACGCAAACTCCATGGTTGCAGTGCATACTGGGAGAAAGTCTCCAGCTCTTCATTGGCCACGTAGGAGAAACTCCGGTGTGTAAAAGCGCGGGCTTTAACGCACGTACGCACGGAAAACTGCGCAGGTCTCCTCGTCTGAGTTCCGCGGAACTCATTTTGAGTGTAGGCGTTTTAGCCGGTAGGATTTAAGAACAGTTTCATTTCCGGCGTCACCGGAAGCAGCTTGAAAATGGCGTCTCCCTCCTTAGAGCGGCGAGAAAAAGGGGCTGGAAAAAGTGAATTTCGTAACCAGAAGCCAAAGCCGGAGAACCAAGGTGATGTTATGTGGGAACCGAAGGCTGGGGTTTGTGGACGTTGAGTTGCGATGTTTTTTTTTTTCTGATTGCTTGTGGACTTATAAAACCACCTGGAGCCAGTACTGTGCATTTGAGTACCACAATAATCGCTGATAAGATTGTTGGCTAGGCCCACAGGAACGACTGGCCGATATGGTGCCACCCACGTGTTCCTAATTCATTCCTTTTGCTAAAGGGTCCCCAAAGCGAAGCCGTTGCTGAATACTTCTTCTGTAAAAGATTGAGTATTAAGAAAATGCCGAGGGCGCCGCGGAACCTTGTAGCCTGCAGGGGACTGAAAGTCATTGACGGAATGAGGAATAGGGTGAGGTGGGAGCAGGTAGTTCTGATATACAGGAGTGGACCCTGATAATGGGGTGAGATATGGGGAAAGGAGCTATCTGACATGTCCTTAGCTCTAGTTTGTCAGTAAAGACATTTTGAAAGATTTATCAATTCCTGTTTGTCAGATTGCTAAAATACTAGACGACACAGCCCTTACTCTTTAGGTTGTGCTACCTTTTAATTGTTAACTCCTGCGTTGTAGTCTGGTTTTACCCGTTTTCTTCAGTATGAATGACAGAGAAGTCAGAAATAGCCTGGGGATCTGTTCAACCAGGCTCATAGGAAGTGTTAAAAACATTGAACT